CTGGCTTATTTCTAAAATACAGCATTTGAATTAAAGTGGGCTTGTTCTTATTTGCAAGATCTGGCAACAGTGAGTTGAAACATACTTTGTTTCCTGTACTTTCCTACACTGTACATACAGAAAAGAGAAACTCTGATGTGCGGTTAAATGCGTCATTAACAACTAGTTAGCTACAGTGTGTACGTGGCCATTGTGATGCTCTTGTGCTTCTGGAAAACTTGCAGTTTAATGGAAACAAATTATTTTTTTCTGGACAGAATCAACCCATTGTCCTTAATAGAAATCATCCTTCATGTTGCAAAACAAATGCCAGGTACAGCTTTGTGTTTCCTATTAGTGTTCAGTGATTCCCATCGCAAAGCCTGTAGAGAGTGAACAAAAAATACTACTCTATGTTGTCATATTAATAACATCTTTTGTTTTTTAACAGATCCAAATACAGCCATCCCCTTTCTTGAGAAAACAAAGGAGAAGGTAGCAAGTTGTTCCAAAGACTAAAGAATACCCAAGACGTGTCACTCATATAGTTATGAATGGGGAAAAATGCAAAACTCAATATGGCCGCTCTATCGAACGATGCCCCGCCTTCTGAGCAAAAGAGCCAATCCCTAATCGATAAAGTCAGCGCGTCACTGCAGCTGCCGTTAGAAGTCCTGGTTGCTATAGAAACAGTCAGCACTATGTGACGTGCGCCTAGGACTGTGCATGCGCACTAGCTGGTCTACCCTGAGAAATACGCTTTTTTTTAACGCTATTTGAGCAAAATAAACAACATTTATGATACAGTTGTTGTCAGATTTAATTGGTCATTTCAAATATGAAATTTAATCGTAAGCTTGGCGAACAGTTTTGGCCAATTTGATGTTTCCCCATTTAAAGCGAAAAGAGCTGCACTTGCGTGCCTGAGAGGCGTTTCAAAGATGGCCACCGAGTGACATGACTTGCCTTAAAGGGACTTTGGTGGTTCTCCTTTGATTGAAATTTACAATATGAGTGACGGTGTTGAAATCATTGTTTGTCGTTTTACTCAATCAGGTCAAAGCCAGTGATGAGGCCGTCATCCTCTGCAAAACCTCAATTGGCAGCCTCAAGCTTGACATCAACGACCTCCCCGCGACAAAGGTCATTTATTTGCATTTTTCTGTTCTTAGTTTGTGGTCCCATTTACCATTGCATAGTGAATTTTTCTGAATCAAATCCAGTCATTTCAATAGCAGGGCTCGACATTAAGCCTTGACATGTGCTTGTCCTTCGGACAAGTAAATCAGTCATTCACTTAGTTACTTGTCCAGGGCAAAAAAAAGCCTCTTTTTTTTTGCAGTAAATGTAATCCATTCTGAAGCAATACTCTCATCCCTGCTCTATGACGTCACTGTCTTAATGAGTGAGTCACTGATTCAACTAATTCGTTCAAATGGCTAATTCATTCAATAAATAAAGCAAGTGACTTTCTTTATGAATGGCTCACTGAATCATTGACTCACCTGATTCGTTCAAAAATGCTGAATCATTCAGTAACGAAACACGAAAACGTGTGTTGCTTGGAGATGTGTGTCTGTTCTGCTGTGGCTTTGCTTAGAACTATCTTCGTTAGCAAAAACGGTCAATAATGTGTCTAAAAAAGTCAGTTAATATTAACTACTTGTTTATTGAACTACTGTTGTATAAAATCAATGTCACATTTGCAATTGTGCTGGTACTTGGTCGTGTGATGTTGCTTTCCTATATCATGTTATATAGAATATTTATCTATTTTTTCCTACCGCAGTCTGTTTGTTCATGTTTGTTTCTTTGTGTGTGCGCTGTTGCACCTATTAGTTTAGATTTTTCTGTGAGTCAGATAGGTGCACGAGCCTCAACTGACGCAACCTTAATACTGTCATTACATTACCAGTTATCAGTCACCGTTTACACTGACAGTAATAAAATCAAAATCATTCTCACCAAAGTTTCGGTGCTGCCCTAGTTATTGTTTATTATTGATGTTTTAATCAGGTTACTTGTCCGGTCGGGCAAGTAAAATTCTCTTTCACTTGCCCCTTCACAAAATCCACTTGTCCTGGACAAGCGGACAAACGTTAATGTCGAGCCCTGAATAGGATTCTACATGATCTGGAATTTGTCGAAATACGAAATGTTGCCGAAATTTGTGATCACAACACTTTTATTTGAGACCATTATTCATGTAGTCTTATGTATAATAAATTTGCAGAAATTAATAGAGGAAGTGGAAGAGATGCTGAATAATCTCCCTGGTGTGACGTCAGTGCACGGGCGATTTTACGATCTGTCGAGCAAATATTACCGCATCATTGGGAACCACGCTATGTACTACAAGGATGCCCTGCGGTACTTGGGATGTGTGGAAGCAAAAGACTTGCCTGGTAAATATTCTGACTGCTGGATGTTTACATTTGACAAGATACTTGGGGAAACAGCGCCCTCTAGTGGTGTTGGGATTGTGGTTCAATGCTCACTTTATCTCATAACAGAAGCAGAGCAACAAGAAAGAGCTTTCACATTAGGCCTGGCCGGCCTGCTTGGAGAGGGAGTGTACAACTTCGGAGAACTGGTAAGTGCCTGTCGTACCTGTGTTATTTATGTACTGTAATAGTATATGTTAATATTGCGAATGTGCTTTTATTTCTATATTTTCAGTTTTTATTTTGATTTTGAAGTTAATTTCTCTGCTACGTGTCTCCTTCATTGGCAACTGCTTGTCCTTATGGATTTATGTGCACTAACAGCTTGTCATGTTTACAGCTGATGCACCCGGTCCTGGAGTCACTGAGGAACACAGATAAACAGTGGCTGATAGACACACTCTATGCATTTAATGCAGGCAACGTGGAGAAATTCCAAGCCCTGAAGACCGCATGGGGTCAACAGGTGAGTTATTAAATGTCAAAAAAAAAAAAAAACTTATCAAGTGTTTTTCAAATTTGTCAATATTGTTACTATTTGAACCTGCATTAATTTTTGTTGTTCTCTCCTCAAAGCCTGATCTCGCAGCTCATGAGGCCAAACTCATGCAGAAGATCCAGTTACTCTGTGTCATGGAGGTATAAATGCTATTGATTAAGAATGTATTAAGCTGGTAATTGACTTCAAATTTTGTTAAGTACATCATTACTTGCTAATTAAGTTGCACAGGAAGAGTTATTATTGAGTAACAAAGCTAAAACAGTTAATGATTGATTGTCTTCATAGATGACTTTCACACGGCCAGCCAATCACAGGCAGCTGACGTTCCAGGAAATTGCACAGAGTGCAAAAATCCAAGTGAATGAGGTTTGTTTTTTCTCTTTTGAATTAGAAAAAAATTGTAAAAAAAAAAAACATTTAATATATAACAAATTTATTATCAGTTTATTAATATATGAATAGAAACAGCATTAAATAGTTTACTAATAAATTATATTTATATTGTAGTTTTAAAAATAACTTTTATTTATATATGAATAGACAGCATTAAATAAATTAAACGCAAAGATTTTTTTGCTTTCTTTTTTATGGTTTTCTTAAATTAGTTTTCTCATGTTTAGAGGTATATCTTACTCTTATTGGCTAAGATGTTCACTCTTCAAGTAGACACAGGTTAAAGCTAGTAATAATGAAGTGTTTTTAGTAAACATAGAAGTGTATTTAATCCAGGACCAGACTTAATCTGTGTCTGGGAGATGGTCTTATCCTTATCCTTTCCCTCAGGTGGAGCTGTTGGTGATGAAGGCTCTGTCTGTCGGACTGATCAAAGGAAGCATTGACGAGGTGGAAAAGAAAGTTCACATGACCTGGGTTCAGCCCAGAGTACTGGACGTGCAGCAGGTACGTCCGAACCAATGAAGACGTATATACATATACAAAAACTTTCTACGGCCAACACGAAGTGGGTTTTTTTTTCCACCTCCACAGATTAAGGGCATGAAGGATCGTCTGGACTTCTGGTGTGGGGATGTTAAGAACATGGCCATGTTGGTGGAACACCAGGCTCAGGACATCCTCACTTGAATGTCCTTCATGCTGTCTGTCCCATTCAAATGTTCCCTTGCATTGCATTCTCCCCGAGTCTTGGTTCTTCATGTGATACGTGTCTTCATTATATCATTAAAGCAGCTTGTTTTCACAATCATTCGTTTGGTTTTTATATGCAATATAAAATGTAAAGGGATAGTTCACCCAAAAATAAAAATTCTACACCCTGGGCTAAAAATGTTCCTTAAAATATCTTATTTTGTGTTCCACAGAAGAAAATCACACAGGTTTGGAACAACATGAGGGTGAGTAAATGATGACAGATCTTACTTTTTGGATGTACTATCCCTTTGACATTTTGAGTTGGGTCATTTGAAAGGTTTTTTTTTCTCATCTGAACCAAAATCGCACACATTTGTCATCAATAGGTCTGTTCATTCTAGATCTGTATTGACTGTTGAGAACAGCAGTGTTAAAAGTTAAACCCTGAAAATACAGTAATTTGCTTCATAACATTTGGGAACATGTGACCTCAGTGAACTCCAAAATCTAATTTGAAATACAGTTACTCCCACTCCTACACTGCCCACATCCTGCATTAAAACAATGGAGCAGAGCTGTGTAAAAAAAAAAAAAAAAACTGTGCAAAAATCATCATACACTATACTGAGAATAGACGAGATGTTTTACCTTCTGCCTAATGGAGGATTCCATAACATTTAGTATGCATATAACTGGTTAACTGGACTTTAAATGGTTAATCTCACTACGAAAAAGATATGTCTTGCTTATAGGAAAATGGATGCTATAAGAATTGCATGTGAATTAACGTTAGTGTCCTCATTGCAATAGTTTAGCGGTTTAGTTTTGCAACAAGGGAAATTTACAGTGTCAGCTATACTTTTGAAATGGTCATTTATGATATTGAAAAAGCTTTTTATCTTTTTAGTTTCAGTTATGTTGACTTGTGGTCGTGTACCAGCAACTGTAAAGCACATGTTGTACATAGAATGCAACTTAGAATAGAAAGTATTTTATTCAATGCAGACCAGTGCCACGAGTTGAGGCGTTCAAGTACATTCATTTATTAAAACATTCTTAACAAGGTTCAATAGTCTTCGTAAGGAGGAATGCTCAAAAGGCAGGCGGTTCTTATTCAGCTCCACCAGGACGTTTCTTGTAGTCCTCCAAATGTGCCAGGACCCATCCAGAGGGGCCCAGGATGGTCACGAACATGGTCACCATTACAAAGACTTGCTCCTGCATTGAGAACGCAGAGACGGTCATCAGATGCTCATCTATATTAGACTAGACCTTTTTTTTTTTTAAGTAATAAGACTAGCCAAGCTATTTTCCCATGCATCACCCTCAAGCTGGCTATATTTTGGCGCCTTTTCCCTTGGAGACTATAATGCGGTTTTTATTTGGGCAAAATGTAGTAGTGCACAACTTGAGGTATTTGTGTTGTGGGACATAATATCTGGTTTATAGCTGGTTTAAGCTGTTTTTTGATGGAAAAGACAACATATCTGATGTATTTGTGCTTTGGGACATAGTAGCTGGTTTTAAGCTGGTCTAGGATGACAGACCAGCAAACAAGCTGCAAGACCATCGAATGAAGCGCTGGATTTCCCAACAGGACGACTTTATTTGACCGATAAGGTCATAAAATTGGCTGTTTTCCAGAAACGTACAAGGGCACGAAGCATTTTAAACACATTAATTAAAGACTGAAATGTAAATTTCTTAGTTTTATGGCTACAAAAATGTTGATACGACAGAAAACAGACTCGCGCGCGGCGCGCCATTTCCACACTACGTGAGCGCACATATACGATCAATGGCGTTATCGGAGTCTCACTTTTAATTATACTGGGTCAGATATTATTTATATAGCCTACATGTATTCATGTCATACTTAAAACGTTTTATAGCTTCGCCCATTCAGGCATTAAATGTAAAAACGATTAAAATGTATTTCACAGGCCGTCACGCTCTTGCGCGCACCGAGTCTGGTCAAAGTGCGCAGCAGGTGAAGTCAACTCATACTCACCCCAGCGGAGAGCACATGTTTGGCTGGTTTGGCTGAAATATTAGCTTTAGGGATGATTTGATGTCTCAACACACCCCTCAGCAGATTGAGCGAGCGATTCAAGCCTGACATCGTTCTGTTGTTGGATATATCCAAACGCTGAAGTGAATGCTCCTGTCGCGCACGGCTCGAGTGGTCTGGAAATGCGCCCTACAGGGAAAGTCAGAGCTGCAATTTCTTGTACACCTGCCAAGTCCTTTTTAAGGTCAGGGTGAGGAAAAAAGAAATGTGTGTGTTTGCCAATCCGCTGCGCGTGTGATAAGCTCGTTCTGTTTAATTGGCTGTCCGATTCTGTTTGCGTGAAGACGCACCAAGACGGAGTGCGTTTTATTTTGTGCCTGCAACCAGCAAGACGCCTTTAAATTAATAGGCTTCTGTACAAGGCTTTAAAACGGAAGGACTGAACCACAAAATTCAGAAGGCTCGAAGTGCAGCCTATGTTATGATTTTTGTTTTCGTTTTTTCCAACTTTTGTAATTGATATTTTTTTTATCCCCATTTTGTTTACGTTATTTTGTTACATTTCAGTGTTGATTTGTATTGTATATGTATACTGAACCTTATTTAGTGGGTAAACGTATCGATTTTCTTGTTCTCATTAAATGGCTGAATTTCGAACCTGCATTTCAAAATATAGCCTACGCAGACTTATATATGTACTGCGTTGGAACTGTTAATATTGGTTAACCATTTAGAGTTCCTTCTGCCTCACCAGTAATGTACCAGAAGATGGAGCTATTGATATAGATAGATAGATATATAGATAGATAGATATGTCGCAAAAAAAATGCTGTTCTTTTAAACTTAACCAGCAAGCTTTAAATTAATAGGCTTCTGTACAAGGCTTTAAAACGGAAGGACTGAACCACAAAAATCAGAAGGCTCGAAGTGCAGCCTATGTTATGATTTTTGTTTTCGTTTTTTCCAACTTTTGTAATTGATATTTTTTTAATCCCCATTTTGTTTACGTTATTTTGTTACATTTCAGTGTTGATTTGTATTGTATATGTATACTGAACCTTATTTAGTGGGTAAACGTATCGATTTTCTTGTTCTCATTAAATGGCTGAATTTCGAACCTGCATTTCAAAATATAGCCTACGCAGACTTATATATGTACTGCGTTGGAACTATTAATATTGCTTAACCATTTAGAGTTCCTTCTGCCTCACCAGTAATGTACCAGAAGATGGAGCTATTGATATAGATAGATAGATATATAGATAGATAGATATGTCGCAAAAAAAATGCTGTTCTTTTAAACTTTCTGTTAATATTGGTTAACCATTTAGAGTTCCTTCTGCCTCACCAGTAATGTACCAGAAGATGGAGCTATAGATAGATAGATAGATAGATAGATATGTCGCAAAAAAAATGCTGTTCTTTTAAACTTTCTATTCATCAAAGAATCCAGAAAAAAATACTACTGTTTTCAACAACGGCAATATGTTTTTTAGCATCAAATTAGAATGATTTCTGAAGGATCGTGGATGCTGAAAATTCTGATTTGCCATCACGGGAATAAATTATATTAAATTGCAATATTTCACAGCATTACTATTTTTACTGTATCAATTAAATGTCAATCAATTAAATGTAGCCTAGCTTGGTGAGCATAAATACTTAAAAAATAAAAAAAAAATACAGCAGTTTTAACATATTGGATAAATATTATACTCACTTTTAAAGATGAAAAACATAGTTTTTAATCAAACTATAGTGCATGTGTGAATTTTGATTGATTGATAAAAATGCCAATCTTTTATTATCTAGGAATTGACGTCATATTTAGTGGGAAAACTACAAACATGAGCAAATATTGGTAATGGATTTAATGAATTTTGTGATGTTTTGATGCATTCGTTTGCAAACCATTTATTTGCATCCCTTAAGTAAATTTTCCTGCCACTGTGTACACAATCAAGTAATAGTTATAATGTTAAAGTGCCTGAGCTATACCAGAGCATATATCTGAAAGTCCATTCTTACAAATAAATTACTACACAAACATATTCAAAATGGCTTGCTGCAAAGTTATGTGAACCTGACAAAGTGAAACTGGCTAAAGGCATGGCCACAGAGACAGAGAAATATGAACTTACTTGCTCTGCAGAGCTTATTAACTAATCTACACTGTTAACCAGAACTCCTAGTGAGAGAGAATATCTCCCATTGTGTTTCCATTGAATACACTGAAGTGCATTTGAGGGCAGGGAAAGGAGCCATTGCTCTCTGAGCAGGCGACACGTCTGGCTCACATGATCTGATTTCTCCTTTTGCAGCTGTTGGACTTTGGCTGTGAATCGGAGGTATTTAAGATCATCTGAAGTAACTCAGCTGGGTTGCATGGATTAATGTTTGTATGTACATACGATGACCTCAGTTTATTAAGAAAAGTGCAACTAAAAGTGAAAAGCCACTGAAACAAATGTGGATGCTTAAAATAACCACATACAACTGACACAACTAGGCATGTGAGTCAGCTTCAGTGTGAATGTTATCTTGACACATCAACCAAAGTTTGATTTATATTTTTTATTTATAAACAAACATGACTAACACCACTGTCAGAACATATACCATCAATCTTAAAATATATAAAGCCCTAAACAGTAAAATAAATAAATGAATATAAAACAAAAATTCTCCCACATATTTGACATAAATAGATTTATTTTGAATCTTAAACATTACAAAATATGGCACACTGTACAAAAAGTTAACGGATAACAAAGTTCTGCATTGTGATCAATCCTGATTGTTTTCTTGCATTCAGCAACTTGACTTTCTGAAACCCTTCAAGAAAACACAGCAGTCAAAATTACTTCATTTATCTACAGCATCTGCACCCATTTCACATATTAAGGAATTATTGATCCACACCTTTGAGAACTGCGTACCAGCTTTTCAACCCTGAACTTGAAATAATATCATCAATGTCAGGAACAAACCGTCTTCCATCTGGGGGGAGAAAGGGAAAGTCAATACGAATACGGCAAGCAATCAAAATCTGGACACTTATATTCAAAACGGAAGATTATCAGGTAAAACAAACACTCGGGATCAGCAATAACAGCCAATCGATTTGATTACTTCCGCAACACTCACGTTTCCCCTTTAGGTAAAGCATTGACTGTGGTCCCCAGTTCTTAGATAACGTGGTCTATTAAAAGACATAAACAGTATATCAGTAAAAGAAACAGCATATGTAATCATAATAAAAAGGTATTTCACACTCAAAAAACGTACCTTTTGAAGGCAATGACACTCTCTGACCAGTAAAAATATCACTGTGCACGTCCATAAAATCCACATTCTTGATATCTATGAAAAGAAAATAGATGAAAAATTGTTATTCTATGCTAATGTATGCACATAAAAATAGGTATATGCATATTTACCATTTTTGTCGGATCAAGAATGGTTTTTGATCAGAAGAACTAAACAAATCTGAGTGGTCCAGTTCTCTACTCCTCTATTTATGTCCTTCTTTAACAACAGGACCCAAGGTTCGATACAACCCCCTGCGAGAGACATCACTTGCTTGCACCTTGTCCTATCATGGGAACGCTCTCTACATTAACCTGCACAAACGCCTGACGTCAAGAGCATCTGCCATAATGAAAATCAATACGGTGAGGTTTACCCTACAGCTGTGTCTCTAAAATTCTACACATGAGGAAAAACACTCATGTTTCTCCTAAAAGTGTCTCAACCTTGAATCCGAACTGAGTTGCTTGCATAAAAGGCGGTCAAATTTGAACTAAAGTGGGATTTGGTAAGTGTTAAGATAAAAATGTAAGAAATGGAATGATTTAAAAAAAGAGCAGGATGTCAGTCAATTTATATATATATATCACTGGAACAGAAAAAAAGTCACTGATGCATGAACACAGTGACAGCTCCATTACAGAAAAAAAACATCCACAAATGGCAAAATGAAAATGCCACACAAAATTTCTAATGCATGGAAATGACTGCACTGAGAACCTGTTCGAAATTCCCTGACACAAGAACCAAGATCAAGTTTTCGAACAGTAAAAAAGGTTTCGGGACAAGCAGCAGGTTATGTGGTAATATAAATTATATTAAAAATGAAAATAATATTTAAATAACATTTATATTAAAATAAATAAATATGAATAAAATGTTCAATTAAAATCATTCAGATGTGAAGTGGTGGGAATGAATGGAAATATAAAAAATATATATAAGTAATAATAAATATTTTAATAATTTTCAAGTAACATACCATTTATATTTAAATAAATAAATACTGACACAGAAAAAAGTCACTGATGCATAAACACAGTGACGGCTCCATTACAGAAAAACAACCACAAATGGCAAAATGAAAATGCCACGCTAAATTTGTAATGCAAGAACCGAGATCAAGTTTCCAAACAGGATCAAATATTCCAGAACAAGCAACAGGTAATGTAGAAAAAACTATGTAAACATTGCTCCTGTTCAAATTGTTTAAAAGCAAGGTTTTGTCAAAGATTTTGCTTTTTGGCTATAAATACAATATACTATACAATAATATCAACATACTGTCAATAAAAACGTGGTTGGAATAATTTAAATAACAAAAATAATTTAAATAATTTTTAGATAAATAAAATGTTCCATTAAAATCCTGCAGATGTGAAGTGGTGGGAATGAAAATAAAATAAAGGAATGATTAATAAATAAATGAATAAATAGTAAAAAAAAATAATATATAAATAACTATAAATAAAATGTGCTATTAAAGTCGTGACGATCTGCATCTCTTAACGTTGAAGTAAATGAAAACAACACTTGTTGGTAACCAAAGCACATCTGGATCAATCGTAACACTGAGCATTTGTTCCCCAGCTACTCATTGAATTGCACGCTGCTGGATTTGAATATTGATCGGACAATCTGCGTCAGGCACTGGCCGAACTCCTCCAAAATCATTCTCTCAGCGTGAGCCGAAGTGTACCCTTCCTTCTCTGCCTCTTCAGCCTGGGCGAGGAGACAGCCGCATGTGGCTTCCACTACATCGGGCGTGATGCACACCAGAGGACTCCTATCAACAGAGACACCCTCAGTGACCAAAGGAATAACAAAACCCTACTGCTCTCATTTACTACCATTTGAAAAACAACCAACAAAGCACGACACAAACAGTAGCCTGTAACCTCAATCTCGTTGGGCTAGTTTACAGTGATGCCATAGATGTGGGCTAACAGTTCATAGAAATTCATGTCCAATCAGTCTTAAAAAGTGACACTGAAGGCCTCTTGATTCACATGATCTACTAAGGATTAACCTTGAAAGTCTTGGGCCCTTATTTTTACTCTTAAAATATAATCGATATGACAGTTCCACTTATTGCTGTGAGTGACTCTAATTGCATATGTGCTTGCGGTGTCACACAGAGGAAGTGGAGGTGGGAGGGAAACGCCTACTAAAAGACCACATTGTTACACAATATAGCGGAAGTGAGGTGTATATATATATTACTGTATTTTTGATACACAGTGTTGGCCAAAATTATTTGAACGGAGTATTTTCACCAGATAAAAAATGGTTTTAAGTCAGTTATGTCTATCTTTTGCTGTAGTGAGTCAGTAGGAAATATCAGTTTGCATTTCCAAACATTCGTTTTGCCATTAATTGTAATAATCCAGTGAGATTTTTGTCTGACAACAGCCAGTGCTCCACACAGAGATCTGATCTCATCATCATCCAGTCTGTCTGGAATGACATGAAGAAACAGAACAAACTGAGACAGACTAAATCCAGAAGAACTGTGGCAACGTCTCCAAGATGCTTCAATAGACCTACCTGAAAAACTATGGGCAAAAGTTGCTTTAAACGCAAAGGATGCTCACACCAAATGTTGATTTAATTTAGTTAATAGAAGTTAATTGACAAAGAAAATCTATTTATGACATTATTTTTGACAGCATCCTCATTTTACAGCATTTTTACACAAGTGCCTAAAACTTTTAACAGTACTGTAGCTTTGCAGGTAGGTTTCTTGAAGCATCTTGGAGACACTACCATTCAAAAGTCTGGGGTGAATATGATTTGAAAGAAAGAAAGAAATACTTTTTTCAACAAGGACACGTTAAACTGATCAAAAGTGACAGTAAAGACATTTATATAAAAACTTTTTTAAATAAATGATGTTCAGTCAACTTTCTATACATCAAAGAATCATGAAAAAATTACAAAATCAGCATATTAGAATGATTTCTGATGGATCGTGTAACACTGAATATTGGAGTAATGACTGCCGAACATTCAGCTTTGCAGTAACAAACGTATATTGGCCTGTGTGAAATTGCAGTGTAAAGCGGCTCCAAATAAATACACTATTGTAAATATACTACCTATCAGGTCAGCTTACCTCATAACACTCGCAGTAGTTCTTCAGGCAGCCTGAACGCTTGCAGTTGCAGCCCTTTGTGTGACATCCCTTCACATTCCCCTGTTTCCTACTGCCAATCTTAGGCCGAAAAGCCCCTGGATTCCTGTCCAGACAGGCCTAAAGAAAGTGTAGAATATAAGAAGTGGCATCTAATCAAAGAGACCATTTAAGCTGGTTTATTTTAAGAGGTTTCTGTCATGTGGTTGACCTTTATAGCCTGGGATCTCTCCAAGTTATGTTCAGTATTATTGTAGCAGTTTAAACATTTGCAGTTGTTGCAGACATCTCCGTTCGCAAAACATTCACAATAACTGCCAAAGAAATTATTTGGTAAGAGCAGTTATTTTTGTACAGAGGCATCAGTCATCATGACCAAAGCAAATAAATTTGTTGGGTAATGCAACCATGACTCAGTAGAGGTTACATCTGAACAAATGAAAGGCTTAAAAAAAAACATGAAAATACCTACAGTTTCAGACACTGAGATTTTGTGCAGTTGCAGGGTCGCTTAGATTTTTCCCACTTCACACTAATAACCAAAGAATAGTTATACCATCATTTAAACTGTTTTACAAAAAGTACTGGTCAGTTGTCAAGAATAAACATGAGAGGCATGAGGTTTTATAGTAATGGTACTCGTACCGTCTACGTCCTTTGGTCTGTCCTTCCTCTTCCAGATCTACAATCTGAGTAGGGCAAAGTGCCTGATGAAGCTAAAAAAAAAAAATTTATTTATTCATTTAAAACTATTTTTAACTTCAGGTCCTTTCACAACATTTCAACAGGTTTGGGGTGGTTGAATGAATTGTGTGCTTGGGGTTGTTGTCTTCCTGCATGACACACTTTCTATTGAGATTGACAGTCAGGTCACAAAAGGCAAACATTTCCCCATGAGATTTACTGATTATGTAAGTATAGGCCTATATATATTTATCTGCTATATGATACATGCTAACCATTTACTCCATGTTTCAAACTGACTGATGCAGTTTCCCAGCAAAACTACCTGTGAAGCATAAGGTCCTGGCGCGAGGTTGAATGTGACACCTGCAGATGTCTTGTGGGTCTGAGGCAGTCCAGTGGATGCGATCTTCTCCGAATGTCCGGCATCTGATGCTGGACAGGACATTCAAATACTTCAACAGTACATTCAACTACTAACCTCATAGTAGATATCATAATATGTTTATAAATGTAATAATACATTAATAATTTCCATTTATTTTTAACAACAGTAAATGCATTTCATTTTACATGCAAAAAGGATTATTTATATGGAAGACTGAAAAGCACAGCAACAAAATAAGGCCTGTTCAACTCTAAGGAGCATGGAAAGCATGGAAAATGGCCACGAAACACTACATTATCATGGTTTTGGCACCAAAAAACCTTAATGAGCATTATACAGTAACCTCAGGGGAAAAAAATAAATGATGAAAAATGCATGAATAAAAAAAGCATTAAATGAACTAAAAGGTCTACATTTTGTAATCGTACAAGTGTATTCAAGTATAATCGTTTCACCTTTTCCAGAGGGTGAGTAGTCCTCAGTAGAGCAGCTCTGCTCAGATGGCTTTGGCAGAGACACTGTGTTGAGATCCATCATCAGAGAGTGAGGAATCTGATCGGGACTGCAATGGTTCAGCACGACGACCTGCCCTCCACCAGTCACATCACACACAACCTGCACTGGCTGTAACACCTCAGAGAAGATGGCCTATTTCATCAATTTTGAAATGGCTTCATTTTTATTCATCTAAAATCTGGCGCAATCAGCTCCTGACACTCTGAATAATTTCTGACTAGTGGCATCAAATGAAAAGGTCTTTTATTGTTTGGATAAATCAAGGATCTATCGTCCATTAATCAATTGGTAATAGTCTTTTTTCTTTTCTTTTGAAAACCACATATAAATGACAAATATTTTATTATAATACTAGATGTTTGAACCGTGACTGATTTTATTATTTTTTTTACCCTTTTTTGTTTCTTTGAGAAAATAATGAGAATTATGACATTTGTTTGTTTGTGGCAATAATATATGTGATACCTGACAAATATTGGACGTTTCATCTGGAAGCTTCTGGTCATGAGACGGCATAAGAAGAGCATGAGGCTGATTTCTCTGAAAAAAAATATATACAAAGAATCCATTAAGTCCCTTTGAACCAAGCTTCACATACATGACACAAACATCTTCAGACTGCACATTACATCATGATGTCTGAATCCTTGATCTGTAGAATACCCCTCCAGACTGTAAACATCTGCACCATCAGAGCTGATACTGGTGACAGCTCGACAGATCTCTCCCTATGAGAGAAAGAATTCAGCAAAGTTTTACTTATTTAATGAGTTAAGGACATAACATGTTTGCTTTATGTGTTTGGTTCTGACTCGTAATTTCAGATTTCACATAGAAAATACTTTCAATTTGTTCACACTCACTGATGACATGCCATAATGAAAAGCCTCCTGGGATGGCCAGGAGCTGTACGGTTGGCCTAGTACATGCTGATAATGGCTAGACTGAGCCAGTAAGTATTCAGGATAGGACGCTAAGCTGAAGTGGGCTACTGGAGGCAAAGGATCGCATGTTAGCTGTGGAAGAATCCTGTAAGTGGTGTAGTCGTCCTCCCGCAGGGATTCTTCCATCCTGGAGTATCCCGGTACTGAATGCATCCCATGACTAATGAGATTTGCCATTCTAGGACTTTCATGGGTGTGGTGTAAAGGAACAAGAGACCCTTCAGATAGGTCTCTTTTGTAGCTGTACTCTTGGTCCTCCAACTCATTCATTCTCCTACTCTAGATGGCGCTGGAATCACGAAGGCATATGAGAAAACAGAATGTTAATCTAGATGCTGTAAAAAAATGTTATAAAAGTTTTCATTTTAATTTTAGTAATTCTGTGCTTTTGTCGTTCTTATAAATCTTTAACTGTAAGATTTCTATTTGATTTCAATTACAATTATTATTATTATTAAAAACAACACTGGTCCCGACTATGTAATGGAAAGTTGTATAGTGAATATACATTTTTCTAACGTTAGTCTTCAGTAAACTATTCAATTCTTAATATATTTATTTTGTGTTGAGCAAAAAAATGTCTATAATAATCTAAATATAGAATATAAATAGATAACCAAATATTTAAATAAGATGTTTAGTTTACTAACTTTGAAGTAAACTGGTTTTGCTAGCGATTTAGCTAATCATTCGTCCACCTCAAGATATTAGTAAAATATCATTTCTGTAGACATTATGATATACTTACCAGATACCTAAGTGCGTAATGGATATTTTGACCGCTTGAATTAACAAAATTAACTTATCTAAAATTGTATAAGTGTTTTGGATATGTTTTTCGACGTTTCAGATACTGTGGAAAAGCGCGAACTTAACGGGATTTGAGCTCACGCGCATAAACACCGCGAGAGGGCGCGTGCATCTGTATTTCACATAATTATGTTTTATTTTTGTATATTCGCTTTGTAAATAATATATTAAGATGATTTAACGACGCACTTTCACACAACCATTACAAAAGTAAGAAAATTTAGCAGCGTCACCTTCCCCTCTCATTTTTAATGCATTAGCTAATGTTTTGAGGTTGAACGCTTATGAAACTAACCCCGCCTCCAGCTGGACTTTTGGTTGTGAAATACTTTAAGAGAGCGCGCTTGGAGTGCTCCCCACCACGTCTTGAAGATGAAGATCAACTTCTCAAAGTGTCACTCGGTGCTCATCACGGGGGCAAGCAGAGGTCTCGGACTGCAAATTGTCCGACAGCTGCTCTATTCGCCGAACAGACCCCAAAAGATCATAGCAACCGCGCGGAATCCTGCCGCTGCACAGGTAGGCCACTAGAGAGCACCATAGCGTCTGTGCCTGTTTTTTTACAGTCTACGGTCTGTGCACAATAAACATATCTGGACAAGTGGCTTAACGAGTGATTATGGTTTGCTGTCATTGTCAGGAACTGCAAGAACTCGCCAAATCGCATCCAGACGTTCATGTTTTGCCTCTAGGTGAGTTACATTGTCACGTGACTAACACGGAGACGCTTAACAAAATATATATTAATTATTAAGCGAATTCAGTTATTCAATATTCCACTTCTGCATCAAGACGATTTGTGTATAGAATTCTGTTTGTGTTTAGTTCACCGACTACTTCCTTTGTCTGTGTGAAAATTTCAGTACTTTATATGTTTCAATGGTTTATGTATAAAAAGTATAAAAAACATAAACTGTGTATGTATTAAAATGTATTGTTATTTAACAATTAATAATGTATTTTAAATACCACCCAACCTCCACAATAATGTATAAATAAATCATATTAAAATTTTACCAGTGATGTGCAATTCTTATATATGTCCAGTAGGTGGAGACAAAGGACAAAGAAATGTGATTCTTATTGACATTGACAAATGTTTAATTTCCACATTAAACTTCCCTGTCAGATTTTATATAATAAAGTCCCAATTATATTTATGTCATTGTTATCTGTAGGATTCAAACATTTCTGGAAATCATGGAAAAAAAAAAATTATAAAAAAAAAAAATATATATATATATATATACAGTGGGATACTTATATAGTATTAAATTGTATAGTACTATATACTACTAAAATTTAATAGTATATATATATTTATATACTATACTAACTATACTCCCAGCAATTTGAAGTTGATATATCTTTATTTTAGTTTCATAAATCTGATTAAAAAATCTCTAATCAAATAACAACTGCACTTACCTTTTAATTTGAGATATGAAAGAAAGTCTATAATAGTGTGGACCATATCCTCATCTGCTATCCTCAGAGCTGCTAAAAAGCAGAAACAAGATTTTATAGGGTCATTCTCGGTTATTATTTTACTTCCGAAGCCTTGCCACAACATCTGTGAAAGTACATTAACGATAAATGAATAGTGTAATCAACTTCCTAGCCTTTAAGAGAGTCTAATAAACCATACAGAACAATGATCTTAATGAACACAAATCCGTTTTGGGTTTTCACACTGACGAGTCCCTACGGGCGGTGCATGTTTCTTACCTGTCTTGAAATCTTCCTCTATGGGCATTTCTCTCTTGCCTGCCAGTCCATGCTTGTCGCTAAGGCTCCTGTGGCTGTCTATGGCATCTGATCACAAAGCAAAACCACACATAATCACATTGATCATTTGAACAGCCCGCTGAGCACCACGCCGTCAGACCCTGACACCCCGGGTGATATTCATAGACCTGCCTGTGGCACACATATGTTCCTAATGCGACACGTCATTATCCGAGGAATATCTTTTTGGGTTGGGTTTCTGTTTTTTGGGACAGATTGAGTAGAGCAACCTGCAGGGATTGAGTCATGGAATTGCTTTTTTGTTGCAATGCGAAGCACACGCTCACACCCTTGTGAAAAAGAAGTGTACTTTTAGTGTACTTCAAATCTTAGAAGTATATTTTTAAAATCTGTATTTGCAGATGATATTACAAAAATTAAAGAAAGTCCTCTTTCATGACTATATGTATTAACACACTTAAGTACTTTAAAAAAAATTGCACTGCATTGTAATATAAGTTGTACCTTAAAGTACATGTTTTAATAATCTTTCGTCGTGCTTTAAAGAAGTACACTTATTTTGATGTGTTGACAAGCAGCACATGTAAAATACTTGATTATAATTTCATTTAAAGTTCATTTATTTTAAATGTACTAAATATACTTACAAATATATTTAAATACATGACATACAAGTTTCGATAGAAATTGCATTAAAGTATATTTTAATAACCAGAAATCCTTGTCATTACATTCGAAACTACACTTCAAACATATTTCAAAGATGTTCTTAAATCCTACTTAAGTGGGTCAAAAAACAACTAAATACATTTAAACTGTAATGCATTCAGTTGTGAAAAATATGCAATTAAGTGTCCAAAACCTTGCACTTGAGTATATTATTTCCATAACTAATCATTTTAAAAGTATTCTAAAGTGTACTCCTTTTTCACAGAGAGTCCTTTTGCACCCAAAGCAAAAAAAAGAGCAGTTTGATGGCAAAAACAACAGAAAAAGCTCACAGCAAGGTACAGAGGGTAAAGCGAAAGACAGAGGATGTAAAAAGCACATAATAGACTATTTAATGCAAGGAAACCTATTCAGAAAGAAACCTGCTGCTAAATGGGTTAGTACTAATTGAATTTAAGACTATGTATGGCAGTATTTAGAAAGTTCATGAAGAATACTTCATGCATTTGCACACAGAATATGTTGCTAAATGATGCCCTCAAACAGCAATGTTTGATCTTTCCAGTTCAGGTGAAAAGATCTTTCTTTGATTCGTGCCGAATGGAAACTTCACCAGCAATGCAAAACAGCACAAAGAGCGAAATGCCACAGAGCAATTCCTCCTCTGACTTCAATAACCTGCAGGTGCTATCTTACATTGACCAAGCAGATCTTCTCTCCCCCTTGCACTGGGAGTATCCTTAATCTGTATAAGGTGATCAATACGACCTGAAACACAGGGAGCTTACGTAACTGACCTACACAGGTGAGCTTAACATCAGTGCACCCCAACACATTTCATCAAAGAGAGCGAACAGACAGTACAGCAAACTAAAGAGTCCAAGGTTTAAAAAGCAGACCTGTGAGCTCAAAGCAAAAGTGAAGGAAAATAAAGAAAGAAAAAACGTATGCGTCAAAACAGTTACATAAATCATAGGCAACTGTTTTTGAATAAACGGCTAAGGGGAAAGATAGAGTGTGGTATTATTGGAGAAGACAGAAAAAAGTCTACAAAAGATGTAATGGGGAACTCACGAGGACCGAGGAGATACCCAGCGCTGTTGAGGGTCCATCCTCTCTTCTCCTTGGCCTGTTTTATAGAATATGTGGTATATAAATGTAGAAGGTTCAATAAATATATACTGTAACAAATCCTTGTACATTTACAGTTAAAGACTGTTAGCTGTGGTTGCCAGACATTCACTGTACAAATGATGTTTCAGGTATTACAGGATGACAGGCGCCTTTATATTTTAGAACTGATAACTGTATATTTCATGAAGTGATGTAATGTTAATATACCAGTCTACTTGAACTAACAAAAACTGAAATGTTTTTTTTTACCATAAATTATAAAGTAATTCATAGTTTTTATTTGCAAAAAAAAAACATACATTTGATTTACTGTAAAATTAAGTATAATGCAATGTTAAACTATTCGTAGTTGTAACACATTGTTACTGTAGCATTTATAGAGTTTTTCTGCAAAAATTACAAACATTTTTAATGTAGTGATGACCAGGGCTAGTTGTCACAAGCCTCATATCTCAGTAACTTTTTATGATTTTGAAACATATTGGTTCTTAATATAATTAGAACACAAATTACAATATAATAATAATAACTAAAAGTTTTCTTTAGCAATAGTTTTGTATAATGTTTCAAAATCCTAATATCTAATATCCTATGCCTATATCTTTACATATATATATATATATCGTATATACATAACCTGTCATTCAAATTAAAATGAAAAAATCATCATATTTTAGCTACATAGATTTTTAACTAAATGGTTAAAGTGTGTTCCCAAAACAAGTGTATTTTCAACAACTATCGGGGCAAGTTGTCATGTGTGTTTTAGTTGTTTTCATTGTATACAGTTTATTAAATTATAATATTTGTTTTCCCACAACTATTGTTATTGACATTTTACGCTGCCTTTTACATTTATGCTATTTAATAATTTTGCCGAAAACCCTATAATATTCTATTAAATGCCGTATCCCGTTGTGACAACTTACCCCATAAAGCGCGACAACATGTCCAGGTATTGGGGCATGTTGTCACAAAAGTAAACGTGCGTTCTATTTCCTCTAACGCAACAACAACAGTGAAAATGTTAAATATTTATAGCAAAGACTTTAAGTAACGTGTTTGAACAGAAACTGCCTTTTTAAAAAGCCACCGTGAAATTGTGCGAAGGGTAAAAAAATTGTAGCCCCGGTCTGCCCCAACAAGACGTTTCAAGGGAGTGTTGTTACACAGAACAGTTCCTATATCTTTAATAAATCACTGTTTCAACTTTTCCGTAATTTTATATGCTTCAAACATACATGATTAACCAAATGGAATTCATCATTTTGAATCAAAGTAACTCTTACCGCAATCACCATTCCGAGTGCTTCCGTAAGAAACGCGCACACAATAAGAGACACACAAACTCCACCGACACACCTGTGCATCTGAAAAGCAGCATCAGTGAAGCATTACGAAACATACAGAATATGCACTACCAGAAGCAAACCGAAAGGAGGAGACTAGGAACTTACCCTGAGTATCAGTTGGGTCTTTGGAGAGTAAAACACTAGTAGGCTAATATTCCTGCTGTTTCTTGCTCCTGGTCCTCTGATGCTCCTGGGATCCGGCGATTTTATTGAAAGGGAATGTCTCACCTCTGACGTACTTACGTCAAAAGGTGACATCGTCAGGCTCTTCATCAATTATAACGCCAGAGCAACTTACCAACGATCCCCGAAAGGAGGAGACTAGGAACTTACTCTGAGTATCAGTTGGGTCTTTGGAGAGTAAAACACTAGTAGGCTCCTGCTGCTTCTTGCTCCTGGTCCTCCGATGCTCCTGGGATCCGGCGATTTTATTGAAAGGGAATGTCTCACCTCTGACGTACTTACGTCAAAAGGTGACATCGTCAGGCTCTTCATCAATTATAACGCCAGAGCAACTTACCAACGATCGGGTCTGTTTATGTCCATGAGATCAGTTGATTATCGTCTTATTGATTATTGTATATAGTCATTAAAGTCCCATCCAGTTCAACAATCATGTAAGAAAGTGATATTATGGATTTTACATTTTCCAGTTTGACATTCCCAGCTCAGCATATACTCAGAAACTCACAGAAATATATATATATATATTATATTTTTTTATTTTTTGCTCCAAATACTCTTGAAATGTACCACATGCATGCTTCTAAAGGATTAAAGAAATAATAGCCTATCATTGTTGACCAATAAATGCGTACATTTTAGTCAGGTTATTTTGCAACCCAGAAGTTATTTTCTGTGAATGTGCGAGAAATCTTTTTAAAATTACTCTGTTTCAGAAATGCACTTTTTGTATTCATGTATTTGTTTCATATATTTTTGAAGCACGTCACACTTTGTAATCCTTATTTTTAAAAAAACTGAAGGTAAAAATACTTGTATTGTTTTATTTTAGGATATATTTATTAGATTTACAAATACACATCTTTGTGTCGCAGGTTACTGCATGTAACATGAACAAACCATACCTTTTCATAAAAAAGTCCTCACTTTTTTCATTTTCTTTCAGTAATTATGCCCTCATGTAGAGGTCAAGAGGTTAATGTGTATGTATTGGCATCTGCTCAAGTCACCCTTCACAAGTGTTATCGATCTGTGTTGACTGACATGTTAACACATGCAAATACAAAGATACAGAGAAACAAACACTATTCAAACCACACGAGGACATTTTTTAAATGCTTTATTGAGTGCTGAAGGAAATATGGGTTCATATGTTCATATGGGTGGATTGTACATTCCAACAAAGCGCAGTTTTACAAAGCCATTCATGCATTTGTTAAGACCCAGTGACCTTACGATTCTATCCCACTCCAGGTAAACATACTGGCTGGCAATCATGAAAATAACAATTATTCCCAAAATAATGAACAGCATGAGAAGAATTCTGATGGCTTTTCTCAAAAGGCTTTGTTCCTTCTGATGGAAAGGACTCTCAGCTTCCTCATTCTGCTTCTCAGTTTCTTGAGAGCTGCGATCTTGATTGTCTGCACAACATTTCTTCTGATGATGTCCCTCACCAATTGGATGGATGACGGAGGCTGACGAAGCCCTTGATGAAAATGGAACAGAGTGCGTACAATTCATCATCTTTCTTTTTAAGGAAATCAGTTAATACAGCTGTGTATGGTGTCTTATTGTAATCTAGAAAAACACTTTTGCAGGTATTTTAGATGAACAGGCTACAAAATGAGAATTGTATGATATATTCTGTATTAGATCAATGCATATATAGCCTATCTAATTAATCTGCACAAGAAAAAGAAGCCTACCTGTAGTCATTTGCAAGGTGGTCCTGGTTTAAATCCGGTTTTGGCGTTCCATGCACATTAATAAGTAATCTGAAAACTGCTCGAGAACGGCAGCGTCCAGGACAGCAGGGTTTCTCTAATTTGACTAAGTTTACTGCGTTCATGGCAGTAGATGTCTTATCGACCTATGAGACAAACATTTCAATATCATTCCATTTGTCATTCAGTATATAGTTTCAGTCATGATGCGAATTATAAAATGACTTTTAGGGAGTTCAACGATGATATTAAAAGAAGGTTAAACGTTATAAATAATGCTAAATCTGAAGGTAAAAATCGTCTCTTGAAATGCATAGTCACTTTGGGCCAATTACAGCTAGCTAACAGTTAAATGTCAACAGAAAGCAAAAACAGATAGCATTTGTTATATTTAAGATATGTTAATACATTAAGCTGGTGCATAATTACAGTAGCCAACTTGTCATGATTAATCGGCATACAGAACAAATAAAAGCGCTGGAACGGTGTAATGTTTTGCTATGTTTAGCTTACTTTATGCGGAAAAACAGATTTACGAAAATGAGCAAACTTTTGGGAAACTTTGTCGTTACTGAACCGTTTGAATGCTATTGAATCTATACATACTTCGCACTCTGATTTCAACTACTTCCACTCAAAATCAAAGGAAGACAGTCAAGAAGAGAAATAAAAAATAATAATAGCCTTAGTTACCGGTCACAAGTGACTGTAAAAAGTTTTCATTGATAAAGCTCTAAAAACCTTACTGACTGATGTTTTAGTGCACTTTCTGCAAATATGGAAAAAATAAAGGGTCTCAATTTAATATGTGCAGTTTCACATGATTAGTGCAAATTGTTACATGACCAGAGCAGTTTATTTCCTGTTTGCACTATGAGAAGATGATGGCTGCATCAAAGCTCCAAAACGATCAAGGCTAGTAAAGTATGTTAACATAAAGATATGACAAATATTTTTGGTGCACATTCTCTTTAAGGTGTCTAGTATCAATATATGAATTCACATATATTCAGTTTTGTTGAGTGTGGTCATAGAATGAGTAAACATCTTGATGGTCACAATAGTGACCGGTGGGATAACAGTGAACATAATTGCAGTTGTTAGTGAAAATTACACTAAAATGTTGCAATGACAAAATATTGCACTAAATTAAAAGTTAAAATGTTACGAATAAGTTACAATACTGGTGTTGTAATACTGGTAGCACTAATATAAAAATGTGATGATATATGTTACAAAAAAGTAAAAATTTTGGAATACGTTGATGGTTGTATTTTTTATTTATTTTTTGTCTTTTATCTCAGTATTCCTATCAATGTTATATAAGGTTTTTTATGCATAATAGTAACCATAGAATGTGATCAAACAGTTTGAAATAGCTGGGCTAAGATATATAACTTTTTTTTTTTTTTTTGACTGCAGAAATATGTTAATTCAGTATACACATTATCCCACCGGTCACAATTGTGTGACCGACCATAAAACACAATTAAACGGGTTAATCAAACCCAGTAACTACCTCAACTCCTTTCAAGCCCGTCTTCTGTTTCATTTCTGTGTTCTGTGTAACTGTAAAGGGACCAAAAATTATTCACCAATTTGACAAACGACCCCGAAACATGTAAACTTGAAATCAGCGGCCTGATGTTACTATGGTTACCACCTCAAGCGAACACGAGGTTCTCACGTAAGCGTCTACTTTGCGTCAACTGAACGTATCCACGCTTACGTTCATTAGCCGGCCGCGGTAGGGAAATAACGAGAAGAATAACAAAGTGCAGTAAACTGTAAAACTGTTTGCACTACAAACCAGTGTGTTCATAATTAAGATTACATTAAAATAATATAGTAGACACGCCAGTTTGCAATATCAAGCAGCAAAACGAGCTCTTTTGTAAAATGATGGAAAGCGAATGATACCGGAAGCCAGTCCCATAAAATGTACAAATGGTCGCGCCCGCTCTCACGGGAAAAATAAGGTGGATAAACTTAAATTTGTAATCCATTTTTTGGGGCTTATTAAAACATTGTTTGATAACAATCACCTTGCCAGAACTCCTTCCTAAAATGTAAAGGAATTTTTAACAATATTGTAATTTATTATAAGGTTCTATTAGAAAAAATGTTTCCGATTGGTCATCCATCATTCAAATCCATGGAACTAAACTTGTTTTCAGCAGCTAAACCTGTTTCTGAGTGGTTAGCTGTTCAGGCCTCTATAGTGTGAGCAGCATATCAATTTCAGACAATTTTTCTCATTTATTCACCAAGAACTGAGAGTGTTATGTCGTAAATAGTGTTAGCATTTTATAGCCATTCATTACAATGTGTCTTTTAGGCTGATGATGCACGGTGCAACTTTTTTTGAGCAACGTTGCTTGGGCACTTTCCCATTGAGAATGGGTAACAGATTTTTATTTGGATATTTTAGATCAGTCGTGGGCCCTGTGTCTCACCTGGTTGCCCGTTGGCGGTTGCCTGGCAACATTGCTCAAAAAGTTGCCCAGTGTATCATCAGCCGAAATTTTCATATGCGTTTTAAATTTTTTTTTTTCGTATTCATCATCCTTTCCTATCAAAATGCTTGCTACAGATGCGAAAACGCAGAAAATCGAACCTGGTCCGAATTTTTTTTTTATGACGGACGAAAGTTTCGGAGGCAGTGTGTAGGCTAAACGTGATTGACACAACGTGAGGTCGTATTTATTTTTTAACGTGCGAAAATTTTCAGAATTTCAGACTCGGTGTGCAAAGACCTTTAGCGTCCATTATGAGATCAACAGAAAGCCCTGGTTTGACTCATTATGATGCATGATGCCCTGAAGACCACAACTGACTCACACTGTTGTATCAGATCTGCAGTGGACTTTCTTTTCTGAAGAAGACTCCCTGTACAGTGAGTCACATCCAGCACCATTTCAGAATACGATGAACATCAGTCTTTTATTCACGGTTAGCCGTTTCAAACGAGCGAAAACAAATTCACTGTTCTTGCCGCATATTTGTTCCTTTTATGTGTGTTTAGATGTGTCTCTAGGGAGACCAACCTGGTGGGTACCATAAACCTTTTTATTTGACTAAAATAAGTTTATTTTAGAGTCCATTAACTGGCATTTCCTCCTTTAACATTTAACATTATTGTCACTTTTGATGGATATCGCCGTTCCACACAGCTGTCCGGTTCTCACCTCTGCTGAGCATATATGTTTTCCACATTTCCGTGTGTCGCTCTCATTGTGTTTAGCTAGAGGGACTGGATGAAATTACAAGTGCT